GGATCCAAGTGCAAGTGCCCCAGAAAACGAGGTGGAGGCTAAATTGCCTTTTTGACCTAGGCTGACACATCATTCAGCACTTCTGCCACATTCCATTAGTCATAAGCAAATCACAGGCCTGTGCGGACTGGAGAGGAAAAGATAGAGGCCCCTCCTCTCAATGGAGGAGTGTCAAGGTCACAGACTATAAAGAGCAGGGGGTGGGCAGTGCAGCCATCTTTGGAAAATATACCAGCATCTTATAGCAGAGATTCACAGTGCATGTTCTTAACTACCGTAACTCGGCTGCTAGCTCAAAAAGTGGCACTCTTCATAGTGCTTAATGACCATGCTCTTGACCTAATCCAAAAGCTTTAGTGTACCATGCAATACCATTCAGAATCTGGAATGGGCAAAGGGACCAAGGGGAGAATGAGCTCTGAAGAAGCTTCTTTAGGTTATAATCCTTCATGTTCATTCCCCTCTGGAAGCCAGCAGTGAAGACAGAGGATTCTCTATATCACCAAGGAAAACAAAGTGTCTCCTATAATCTCTCCACCATGACAGTTCCCAGTGGTGGCCGATTCCATCATAAAAATCAATTTAAGTGTTCCTGAAAAAAGCAAAGGGATGCCCCATCGACATCTTACTCTCATAGACTTGACTTTTGGTCCACTCACCATCATCTGGTGTCCAATATTATATACCTAACCCAAATCAGACTTTGATCTCTAAGGTCTCATTAAAACTTCCATGCAACCACTATGGAAAACTGTATGCAGGTTCCTTAAAAAGCTAAAAATAGAGCTACCATATGATCCAGCAATCCCACTCCTGGGCATACATCTGGAAAAGATGAAAAGTCTTAATTTGAAAAGATACATGCACCCCAATGTTTATAGCAGCATTATTTACAACAGCCAAGACATGGAAGCAACTTAAGTGTCCATCAGCAGATGAATGGATAAAGAAAATGTAGTATTAGATAATGGAATATTACTTAGCCATAAAAAAGGATGAAATCATGCCTTTTGTAGCAACATGGATGGACCTAGAGAATATCATACTAAGGGAAATAAGTCAGACAGAGAAAGACAAATATATGATATCCAGTCATATGTGGAATCTAAAATATGATACAAATGAAATCTATTTACAAAACAGAAACAGACTCAAAGACACAGAAAACAAACTTACGGTTAACAAAGGGGAAAGGATAGCAGGTATAAATTAGGAGTATGGGATTAACAGATACAAACCACTATATATAAAATAAATAAACAACAAGAACTTGCTGTATAGCACAGGGAACTAGATTCAATATCAGGTAATAATCTATAATGGAAAATAATCTGACAAAATATACATATTATTGAATCACTTTGCTGTACATCCAAAACCAACACAATATTGTAAATCAATACTCCAAATAAAAGATCCACATTATTTACAAATAAATGAACAAACAGTTCATACTCAGATGGAAATCTTAAGTCTAAGAGCAAGTTTCCAGAACCTTTTTGAGGGGACTGAGAAGTTAAAGGAGCCATTCAAAACAAATAATAATTTTTTATCACTTTATATCACATGTACTTAATCAAAACTGACTGCTAATTTCTCTGCCAACTTCAAGGGGTTTGGAAAGAGTGGGATGGAGAGAACTCGAGAATCAGGCTATTTAGAGACTCTCCACTGTTAAATTTTTCAGAATCAGATCCCTGGTACAAAGCCAGGCAAACACAAGCTGCAAACTGACTCACTGGACTAAAAACCCACCCTTCGTTAGCTGCCAAGGAAGAATAATGTTTTAAGTGGTATAGTTATTATTTGGGCTGTAAATAAATACCTCCTCGTTAACAGTTCCTCAGAATACTATTCTGAAAAACCTTGGTGTTACCAAGGAATTTCATTAAGTCTGGTTATTTTTCATGAAAAATAATAAAATCATTATCTTCAATAAAGTGTTGGTTAATGTACAAAGGAAAAAAGCAAGAATGCCTTCCCTCTATTTTGGTTTATACACTAGGTGAAGGCAGGAAAACACAGTCAGCTAAATGCATCTGTGGTTTATTTACTGAGAAACACTCTGGCAAAATTTGTGTAACTGATTAAGTGTTACTTATTTGGAAATGCGGGTGTAGCAGTAATTTTTAAAAACTGTTTTACTAGTTTTTTTATTTTAAGAATTCAAGTCAAATTTTCATTTTGAATAAAATTTCAATTAACACAAACAACTTGAGCTGGACTATTAACACAACCAAACAGCAGAGGAGACATTTAATGAAAAAACTCCCCTGTTATCACTTTGCCCACGTGGCTTTTTCCAGAGGGACTGTGTTCTGGCTACGTGAGGCTGGCTTTGTTTCCTTCAATAAACTAGAGAAGGGAAAAAGGTGGGGAGGGGAATGTGACAATCAGACTTAATCCACACCAGGCTGCCATATGTCACTTTTTGTCCTTTGCTGCTTCATTGATTATTCATGAATTCACTACCTGAAAAGTGCTATATTTATCTTTACAGCCACAAAGCTGTCAATTCAGCTCCAAGTGTGCCTGCCTTTGTCTTCAATGAAATGCACAGTTTGGGAGAAAAAGGACTTGTGTATACGACACTGTTCTATGCCATAAAACAGGTAAAAAAAAAATTGATATAGCATAGGTGAGTTTCAATGTTGATATTATTATTCCTTAATGACTGCTACATCAGAAGAAAACTGGAGTCCTGCCTTTTAGAGCCTTTGGCCTCTAAGGA